GACAATCCTTTCACATAGATTGCCTAAGACCATCAGAAAACACTGATATCTATATTACGATTTATAACAATGGCAAAATTACAGTTGTATTACCTACTGGGACTACAGACCAATACATGTCTACTTTCTTAGATACAAGAAAGAAAAAAAATGAATCAGCAGTATCAAAATGTGGTAGTATTGAATCTTCAGCCTTTATTAAATGTGTTAAGTCACTAACATGGGGATCACAAACAAAGAAGAGGTTATAATTAAACTTCTATTTGTAAAATTTGCTTTGGCTATAGAAATCCATTATCCACTATTCCAAGTTAATCATCTATAAGGTTATAAGAACAGAAAATGGAAAAACCATCAAAAATGAGCTGGGAATTTGTAGAGATTATGGGCAAAGCATGTTTATGCTTCCAATGGGAAATTATCCATTTGGTTTCCATTTACCTAAATCTCTAAGATCTGTGCAATACACATTTAGTGTATAAAAGTGTCTATGAGTTTGGGTGTGTGCTTACACATATCTATCATTATGCCATGAAAATGTCCTTTAATTGAACAGAAAAATCAATTAGGCTTACAGAAGTCTGACATATTGTTTGTTCAGATGAATCACGATCACAGCTCAAGACCTGAAATGCATCTAGCCAAATAAAACTTAAGTCACAATTATCTGAGTGCTGAGTTGATAAAGGCATATGGCTCGAGGGTGATCTCACTTAGTGCTTTTTTCAAAACGTATTGCCTTAGTCATAGAGGGTCAAGATGATTGGGAAAGCCCGAGACAGCTAAGTAACTCTAAAGGCTCCCATAATATTAGAAAGATGGAAAAAGCTATGGACATTTAAGAGATTACAGTTCAAAAGAATGACAAATTTGACATGGAGCAAAATGAGAAGTAGCTAAAAATCAGTAATGTAGTCAGGCTCTATACATAAGTTTTAAGCAGTTATGAATTGTAAACTTTCTGAAGAAATACAGAGTTCTCTCTGTCCAAGGTCTACAGTTTGTCAAGAATACAACTTTTAGGAGAACCTAGAGAAAGCAAAGGGCAATGGGTATACCTTAGGTTTCTAGCATTCGAGGTTTGATTGGATTAGATCATACAAGAAAGTTTTGCAAATTAAGAATAATATCACAAGGGGATATAGACCCAGCACAGGAAGGCACCAAGCTGAAGTTAGTAGAAACAGATAAGTCAGATTGTATGTGTGTATGTGTGTGTGTGTGTATGTGTGTGTATGTATGTATGTATGTATGTATGTATGTATGTATGTATGTATGTCAGTACAGAAGTTTTAGCAAGCCTATTGTGGTGATTAATGATGTGAACAAGTCCCCTGAGGTGCAGACCTACAGATGGCATGGACCTACAAGGCTAATGGTTTCAGGCTTTCTGGTCTCCAAAATAAGCAAGTTAGCACATCACTGTTTTATAAGTGTTACTTATTTAACTGCCTTTTTGAGCAACTGGCTAATAAATGTGGCACAAATGACTGTCCAAATGTAGAAGTGAAGTCCATCTAGGGAACAGACCTTGACATCAATAGGAAAACTGTCAACACTGTGACCTCCAACTGGAAGTCTAACACAGGAAGAGTGTCACAGATACACACAAGTTACTCATTACCCTGTAAAGCAGTGTTCCTGACAAAATGATTTCAGAATAAAAATTACTCACAAATCTTCGAAGAAAGTGCCTAAAATTCTATGTGAAATGTATCATTTTGATAAATTTAAGTGTGTGGGGGGGAGGGGAGGGAGGCTTTGTATGTACACACAGGCATGCATGTGCCTATACATGAATCTATGCATCATGGTGAAGGTCAGAGATCTGACAGTGGCTATTCAATTGTCCTTTGCAGACACAGTCTGTCATTGAGGCTGATAGGCTAGCTTGCTTAGGCAAGCTGAGCAATATCATTCAGGATTTGTCTTGTTACCTTTCGTCACTCCCCCAAGTCGATGTTAAACAGGAACCCATTGCCACTTCCAGTATTATACATTGGTTCTAGATATCCAAACTCGAGTGTTCAAGCTTGCACTGCAAGCCCTTTACTAAGTGAGCCATTCCTCTTGATGCTATACCATTTTAGCTATCTATTTCATGGTTATTTCTAAGATTGTAATTACCCCATTTACCCTTTCCCTTTCCTTTCTTCATATGCTAACATGTTCCCACCTCCCATTTTTGTCTTTCAAACACATGAGCTCTTTCTTTAACTCTTGTTAATGTGTGTGTGTGTTTATACATGCAAAGTATTTTGTCTGTATAATGATAATCATTTGCTATTTGGTATTGATTGATCCCTGGTATACTCTTCTCTCCAGAAAATAATTTCTCCTGCCCTCAGCATTCCTTAGTTGCCTGTAGCTTTTATGTAGAGTTGAGGTCTATTTATCGAGCTTTCTCCTGCCTTCTTCCCTGTCCATGTTGGCATATCTATTGATGCTTGTTGGTTTTTGTTATGTTTATGCAGTCATGTTGATGAAATATTAGGATGAAGCTTATGACATTTCTAGAAATTTTCAAGACAAAAATCTCAGAGCAAATATTCATTTCCTTCTACTCTTAGAAGTTTTCTTCCCCATCTTCTGCAAAGATCCCCGAGCATCAGGTGAGGAGTTGTAGAGGGCTTTTTTTTCCAGTTCTTTTTTCTTATATTAATATATTCAAATTATTTATCCTGAAAGGCTTTCTGCTACATTTACAATTTATCGGTCTTATTAATCACAGTATATTTCAAAGCACTTGTGAGGTTTTTGATTCTCTGCTGGGCTTCAGATATTTTGTTTAGAAAAAGCTGGATTTCTGTGAAGTCTCTCTTGGCTATACTGTTTAGGACTCTTTACTGGCACTGAGCAAAACCCACTGGGTACCTGTGACTTCTTCCCAAAACAGACCCTTTCATACTATTTCTATAGTTTGAATTAGCTACTAAAAAATGAAAAAGGGAAGTGTTAACAACATTGCAATCTTACCAGAAAGTGTTATTTATTTATTTTTAATAATATTACCAAAGAGAATCTGTTTGGTCTTCAGGTCATTTGACAGTGATTGCTACATGTTTTTGTGTTCTTTCTTTGGTATTTTTTATATACATATAAAATAACTCTCATTTTAATAATGAATATTCATTAGATGTGCTTAAAATGAGTTAATTAATCAGGACTACATTTCTAAACAGTTCACTAAGTTCCACTTGCTAGGAAACCACTTCAGGGAATAAACATCACATTTTCCTTTTACTATCAGACAGCTTGCTTGCACATATTTTAACACTTTTTCAAAGATCATTCTTTGTGTTTTACAATGTAAAAAGCAAAGAAAGTAATTGATTTAAATAGTATTCAAAGAATATATAAGTTATAGGCTTCTTTATTAATGTGGGCCTGAAATGATTCTGTCACACAGATGCTGGGAAAATGAAAGAAAAACAAGCATTCTCAAGGAAGACGGAAAGCTTTCTAAACTTCCACTGCTCCCCCTAGTGGAAGGAAAAATTCATGCATGCTTTAGACTTGCCAGTCAATCATCCTTTAGAGAAAAGTATTCCAGGTGAGTCAAATTCAGTGTATTTTTTTTCCTACAGAGACGATAAGACAAAATTAAAGTAATAAAAATGAAAACTACTGCTTAACTTTTCAACACTGGTTTGTATTGATGTCTCTTTTATTATTTAAAATAATTGTTCAATATTTGTAATTAATGAGTTCATTTAGGGATCTTGCAAAGATAATCTCTTACCAAGTAATGAATGTATAAACCAACTGTCTGTAGTGATAACCCTGTTTTTTTCCTTAGTTATTATTGCACGATTAGTGGTGTCTTTAAAAGTTAAACAAATCTCAGAAATCTTTGGTTTGAAATATTCATATACATAACACCAGTTCAGAGCTCTTCCTGTGTTACCAAGGACTCTCTACAGGAATAGGCTATTCCTCAAAAGACATTTGAACAATTTTCTCCCAAGAATCGAGAGAAGAAAAGAAGAGCATTGTAACTAACAAATTACCTGATGATTCTCTTAGAAATGTGACTCTGGTGGATGGCAGTGATAGTGAATATTTTTCTGTCTAAAAGTACAATTTCTTTTATACCAAAAAAAAAGGATTAAGCTGAAGGGAGAGTTGACATAATGCAGAGAAAGAGTGAGAAGGGAGTTGTGAAATGAGGGAAAGAGGGAGATACAGCACCAACCACCAATAAACAGCTAAACAATTGAGTGTATGTGTGATTATGTAATTAATTGGGGAGGTATCATCAATACAGCAATTCATAGTTTACCTTCTAACTCATAACCTATTTGTGTCTTTATTTTATAAACATTATTTAAGACACCCAGTGAAAGACAAGCATATGAAATTTCATCTCCCCTCAGTAACATATAATAAACTTTAAGCAATTAGGACATAATACTTTTCATTAGATCTGATTTTTCCTTTTATACTGATTTTTTTCTTTTCTTTGGATGTTTCATTACCCCATTACATTATCATATCCAATATTCTTTTGCCTGTTTCCCTTCCTATTTTAGTACATGCTATGTAAATTCTCTATGAGTTTTGAGACAACAAAACATGTGCTCAGAAGTTTGTGTTACCAGAAAATATACTCCAAGTCCAAGCAGTGATTTCTCCCTAGAACTTTTGCTTAAATATGAGGAATATAAAAAAAAATCACATTTAAAAAATCAAAATGACAAATGTCTGGAGCAGGAGCATGACAGAAACTTAGGGGAAAAAGGTACCAGGGGTGCCTCTTACTATGCTGTATATGGCAGTGATTTTGAACAACTCTTTCCATGAGTCAGAAATCCTGAGCAACAGCTGCAATTAGGGAAGATCGTCACTTTCAATCAAGGTTCATGGGTGGGGGATGAGATGAGGGACAAAGAGAAAGGAGGGGGGATGGCAGAGCACATCCTGTACAGTCATGACATCATCCTCAGGCTCACATATATATAGGGAATGGCCAGAGCTTCTCTCACCATTCACTGACTTTCAAAGCCAGCTGGAGGCAAGAGAGAGCACTGAGAGAGCTCCTTCAGCGCCTTTCTGACTGTGTGGACCTGCTTGTCAGAAGGCTGAGAGAAGATGACAGGAATGAACCTCCAGCTGGTGTGCCTGACACTCTTGGCTTTCAGCTCCTGGAGTCTGTGCTCAGGTAAGCTCAACTGTGGCTCACAACTCCCTGAAGTGAGTGATTTCTCTTGCAGTCTGCTGCTACTCAGGTAAATGAATCCAGGAGGAGTCTCTCTCTCTCTCTCTCTCTCTCTCTCTCTCTCTCTCTCTCTCTCTCTCTCTGCCTATTAGTGAAAGAAACTGCGATTATCATGTTTCTCTCCCATTCTGATTATACGAACTGAAATTATTAGTTTTTTCCTTTTAAAAATCTGTAAAGCAGTTCACTGGGTTTCAAGGAAATGCAACATATTCTCTGGAATATAATCACTTAAGGGAAAAATCAATATGAGTAATATAACAGGGATGAAAATTTGAATAGAGGCAGTTATTGTCAGCATGCAGGCATGAAAAAAATCTCATTCATGCTCTCTTATGCTCCTTTTTACTCATTGTCTTAGGTGGTGGCTTCTCTCACTTACCTGTGTGATCTTCCTCAGATTAATTTTAGCTCTCTATCTGTGCTAGAACATGTGAAATAAATATCAATCACTAAACGAGTGTTTCTAATGCAACAAAAGTGTCCCAAGTCCTATGTGAAAATGCATTTTATAGAATTTCATTGTGACAGTCATGATGCTAATGTAGCTATTGCTTTTCTGAATGTAATTTGAGTTGGCACAACCTGTAACCATAAAATTGGTGCACTTTTATTTCTGATAAATTTAGCTTTAGAGTGTTCTGTATAGAACAGTTAAGGAGAAGAAATGTATTTTTCTCAGATGTGTATTACCTCTCCTTAAAAATAAAATAAATCTACGAGTAATACGAAATATTTTGATGATAGTAATGTATTTTAGTAAATAATTGTACAAACACATAGCAGTGGAAGATCTTAGAGAGAAATGAAATAAAAAATCACTCAACTTATACTTGTAAATATTGTACTTAATAACCAGGACTCTGGAGTGTTAGTTCAAACTAAGATTTTTGAGTGCAAAGATAACTATCAGAATGCATTCTGATTTGTTTAGAATGATTTTATTAGTGTACCAGCCTGTAAATATTCTATGAGCCAATGCAGTTTCCCCATAACTATAACTTTATCAAGTAGTTACAGAAACATAGTTATAATTATAGATTCTAAAAATAGCTTACTGATTTAAAACTGTATATTAGCTCTTGAAACCAAAATCTGTGACATGGACACATTTTTACCGGTGATTAATAAGATTAATTTTAACATTCATTCTGAAAAACAAACAAGCAAACGTGTGTGTAACAAACCAAGCAAAAGTGTCCCTGGAATAGCTCAGCTCTTACATGTAGCTTATCAGTTGCCACCATCAGATGGGATCCTGGGCTTTAATGACCATAGAGTAAAGAATGGGGCAATTTTAAGCTCTGCCTTCACAGAGCTCATGGATCTATAACAAGAGGCTAATGTACATTAAATGCTCTACAACATCGTCATCTTTCTAAATTTTACTTCTTTATACAACACACATAAATGCAATCTGGAAAAACGTGTTCTCAAGTTAATCAAGGATCTGTTTTCAATAGGACTTAAACCATGTGTTGGTGGAGAGCTCTGCATTCGCTTAAGCCATTTCATTACTTGCTTATGAAAAATTTAAAGCACAAAATTTACATGTCTTGTGTAAAACAGAAACTAATTCTTTCAAAGAGTATTTTACAAGATGACATTTGTAGTGAAGTAAATCTCGGCATCATATTTTATTCTAAAATTACTATTGAGTACTTCCCTGTGGCTTTGCCATGAAATTAAAAGCAACACTTGTATTTATATTTTATTACTTTCTCTATTTTTATATGTGTGTGTGAGAGTGTGTGTGTGTGTGTGTGTGTGTGTGTGTGTGTGTGATATTGCTGGTAAGAGTAACACAGTGCAGTTTTTTTAAAAAAAATAAGGTCTACATTGTACAATATAATGAAATGTTTTACTGAGATTCAGTGAATAGACAATTCTAAATCATAAATACTTTGCTTAGCAAATTAAGATGTGCTTATTTTCTTAGAAGTGGCTCTACTGTAGTAGCTGTCAGCATAAAATTGAGCTGTGGTATGTTTCTTTCTGAATACTGCTTTGAAGAAATTACACACAGAAGACAATAAGCTTCAAAGACTAATCCTTTAAAATAATTTGAAATATGGTGGTTGCGATATAATTATGTGATGTGTGATTACATAGTAAGCACATGGTTTTGATTTTATTCAGATTCAGAAGAGGATGAGAGAGCACTGGAGGCAGATCTATTGACAAACATGCATGCATCGAAGGTATTTCCTTTTCCTTTTCCTTTTAGTTAACCCAAGATAGAAGGATGTATGAATATTCACTCTAAACCTCATATTATTTTCTAATGTCTACCAAAATAGGTATAGTTACCTATCACAAAGCTGTAAAGGTCTTTGGGAAACATTTCTTATTTGAGAGATTTCTTTTTCTGCTTCTAAGGAGTCACTCATGTTGGTATGAATAACAACATGTCTATAGGCTGTCAGTTTGTAATTTTCAATTTTAAGTAAGCAGCCACAGATAATGAAATGAAGATATGTAAACATAATTAAAGTAAATGGCTTCCATCGTTACTACATTGGCATGATAAGAGCTACACTGGCCTGAAGTTAAATAAATAAGTGAAACCTAATTGAAGTTGTTCCATGTTCTGGTTGATTGTGGAAAATAAAATAGATTTCCTAAAACATGGCAACTTGGGGAGGAATATGGTACAGAAGAAAGCTAAGAAAAATTAACCTTGACAGCCAGTCCTAAAACCTTAACTTCTTATCTAGTCAATCTTAGGCAACTGAGTTAGTCAACAAGATTGACCTTGGCTTTTCCTATTTTTAAATGCAAGTGGAGAACCTATATATTTATGGTTCTCTGATAGGTAACTAAACACTCCACTTCATATGAGAGGGTTTACATTCTTATCCTTTCAAAAGCATTAGCCATAGATAGTTAAAATTTGTTTCATGAGTCCAGTAAAGTTCTGTATTCTGAACACCATTCTGCTCTGCAACCTTGAGAGCATATTTTCTAGTTACCAGCATTCGCCTAGGAATTAAACACACCTGTTAGGAGGTGTTAGACTATATCACATTGTGTATGAAATCGATTGCTGAGACTTAGTAAATCACTGTGTATCAAAACTGATGGCTAGAATACAAGTTTCCAATGAGTAGATAGGGACATTTTTGAGGTGAATCCACCTCTTCGTAGATTGAGAGCACAGATATAACAAGCCTGGGATTTAACAATTATGATGAAAAGAGTGATCAAGACACTGACCTAAGTTCTGAGGCAATATTCTAAATCAGTTCTTCCATACAGAGTGTTCCTGTAATTGAATGAACATATTCTATGTACAAAACTCTCTAGTATACAAGGGAAATGTTTTGTATTTGATACTAAGCAGAAAAGAAAGTTTCATTTGGTAAGTGTGTGTCTGAAAGCACATGATGTTGTTACATGATGTTGTGTGCTTTGCCTTGGTTCTTAGTGATATTTTGGTACAATCTAAGACCACATAAATTTCAACGATATCTAAGCTCTACTAAAGTCAGTTGAATACCATATTAATTTGTAAATATCATATCAGACTAGCCTCTTTATAAGTCTGCTTTATGAATTTAGTTAATATTAATAAGAAATTGATTTGTGCAATCATAACAGATGCTTTGTTTAGTATTCAGTCAGGTAACGATAGCTACAGTTTTTCCATCTCTGAGGTAGGAAGATATATGCAACCCATTCATACTCTCTTAGCTTAGCAATAAAGCCCTTGGTGTCTTATAATAGATTTTGATTTTGAAATGGTAAATGTACATTGTTTACACATATATGCTCTAAATAATCTCCAAAAAGTGCAAAGTTTTACCATTCCTAGAACATGCGAGAATTTGGGTGGTCCTCCGTGACCAAGCAAATGTAAGAAAAAATAAATTCAGTATCTAAAACGATGTCCTCTTCTCGACTGAAGACAATTTTGTACAATGGTATGATTCAATCATTCTAAAACAATCCCAGAGAAAGTATTTACATTGCATTGCCTCATCTCAACCTTGGTAACTAAGACACATCTTTGACAAGAATGTATCCAAGTGGATGATCACTGCACTTTGCTGCTAAGAGAAAAATAAAAAGTGCACCTCATGGTTTTCTATAAAATTATTTATCATTCATTCTATTATTCATCCATATCTTTTGTATGTTTATACTACTATGTGAGAGCTCTAAATATATGTCCACTTTAACATAATGACTACTACGTTTAAATTTTTAATGAGAATAATTTTGATTCTGTTTGAATAAGTTCTATTGAAGGATAATGTTGTTTAGACATTGAAATACTAGTACTAAAAATATCAAGACAAAAGAAGCTCCAGGAAATTCTAATAGAAAGAAAAAATGGCAAACACAGGAGAAATTGTTGTTGTCACAATACATTTTTTAAAAATTATCACCACTGGCATTGAAATATAGTGTCATAAGAAAGTAGAACTGGTACCGCATGTTTTCATTGAAAGCTAGCTAAATAAATATTTGTAATTAAACTCAAATCCATGGATATGATAGTTCAGTGCATGCTTTTGAATAAGTAACTAGAACCCATTCAGAGTTTGATTGCAAGTAGAAATTACAACACAACGCTTAACACAGTCAAAGCATGTCCCATACTCATCTTACAGACTTTAATTGCAATATCTTTTTTTTTTTAATTTTCAGATCAACAAAGCAAGTCCTTCCTCTTGGAAAATGACCTTGCTAAATGTCTGCAGCCTTATAAATAACCTGAACAGCCCAGCTGAGGAAGCAGGAGAAATGCATGACGATGACCTTGTTGGCAAAAGAAAACTTCCCCTTGTTCTGGATGGTTTTAGCTTGGAAGCAATGCTGACTATATTCCAGCTCCAGAAAATCTGCCGCAGCAGGGCCTTTCAACACTGGGAGGTATAACTTAACCCAAAGGAGGGCATGAGCATCACTGCCCTACTGGGCTATCATCTGTATTCAACCTATGATACCATAGTAGGGAGACCTAAAAATACTAGAAAGTGATAAATCATGCTTTTAAGTTAACACCCTTTCTTAACTTCAAAGTGCCCTCCAAACATTCGGAGATTAACAAACCCTTTTCTCTTCACGCTTAAAAGGGTGACATGTCCTAAGATAAATTTGAATGTAAACAGGTGATATACTGAGACAGTTTTTCCTATATTAGTAATAGTGATATGTATGAAGAAATGTAACGTAACTCCAACTGTCATGCTAAAATCAAAAATGCTTTTGACTTATCTATAACAAGCACGATACAAAAATTTCAAATAATATAGTAACAAGATTAAAGGGTTTTAGTTGCAACTCAGAGATTAGAAGTACATAGGAATTGTTTTTCTGATTTTGTAATTGATTATTGGGCAATTTAAATATTTTCTAATATTTAAAATAATGCAATACGGTTGTACGTGTGTGTGTGTGTGTGTGTGTGTGTGTGTGTGTGTGTGTGTGATGGGGATTAGGTAACTTCATAACCTACTTCTCTACGGATGAAACAAGCAAGTAAGACATCATTAAAGGAAGAGCTTTAAACATTCTGTGGATGTATAGTTAGAATATTTATTTATGCATTTTGGTTTTGTTTTGTTTTTGTCTTTTGTTTTTTGTGAGACAAGGTCTTGTAGCTATGTAGCCCTGGCTGGCCTAAGGTATACCACATAGCCCAGAATGGTATCAAATTTTCATCAATCCTCTTGCCCCTGCCTCTCAAGTGCTAATACCACATGTGTGTACTACCTTACCTGGTTGGCATATCTTTAAAGGGGGAAACTGAAATCTTTAGAAATCTACTTTATCAAAGTAACATTCTCAATAGGCACAATAATTTTTATTGTCTTGGGGTACATTTCATTAAAAAATTAGAGCTTTGGGGAGAAGTATCAAAAATTGAACCGAAAGAAGGAAAAAAATGTGGAAGATAACTGAATGTTCCTAAAAAGAAAAATGAAATGCTATTCCACATTTCCAATTTGAAAAAAGAAACACATTATTTTTCAGATCAAGTTCTGAGAGGTTTGCTTCATGCTTTAATATGGTGTGGGCTTATGGCAACATTGTAGATCCGATGGTGCCCTCGCTCTTAATGTAATAAGCCTGTGAGTGGCTGCCACAGAGATACCCTGTGGAAGGAGCAAAGGCCAGCAGAACTGCTGGGGTTTATACTGGCTGGTAAACAAACTGATGCATTCCAGATGAAAAACCAAAAATGCTCCTTCAGATTTACTTGTCATGTTCTTTATCCTTTAATTTTAATTCCAGCTAAATGGTACAGTACTTAAAACACTGTTTAGCTCAATAAAACTTGAAAATTCAAATCTTAGCAGAGGGAGACGTCAATTATACCTTATTTATCCAAACAAGAAAGACCCCCTCAATAAACTAATTAGCAGATAAGGCAATTGAACATAAAGCTAGATCTCTTGTTATTTTAACTGTTGAGTCATTTACAAATAAGATGAGAGTATCATTCTAAGCACAGTACAAGTAATTACAGACTATGCATTTTTCCACAAAGTAAAGATAAAAAATCTACATTGCCTGACAGTAGCTGCTTCGCCTTTCCTGAAACTGGATATCTGTGGCTTGAAATAAAATATTTGGTGATAGGATGGTATGTTTGTGCATTACAGTTGAAATATCAGTATTTGTGATTGTGACCACAAAGTTTAGGAGACAGCAGTAATCTGAAGACATCTTAGGTATTTAAACAGAGTTTCCACATTTGTTGATCTCTACACATCTAAGATACTTGAAACAGGCAATTCTTTCTTTGTTTAGAAAACTTATTGCAATGACTTTCAAGTCATGTCAGGAATTGGTGAAAATCAACATAAAATTCTGTTACCTTCTTATTCAAATGGCATGTTATATTATTGTGATATATTTCAAATTATTTTGGGCTATCATTGTATATTCAAAATCTCAAAACTAATCTGATGTCCCTGGTGTGATTCCTCAGTTGGAAAATGTGAATACGTTTCTGAATGGAGGTAGTCTGGTGAACTGGGAAAGGCCAGAAACAATACAGAAAGGTTATGATCTTATTCCATCTCAGTCATTGATAAACATTTGTCCTATGACAACAAGTTTCTCTGATTCTACAGGTACATTGTGCCTAAAATCAATCAGGTAAGATGTAGAAAAATATCTGAAATACATTTCATGCATCTCATCTGCTTTTGTGTTTTCTCTGTTTTAGGTAATTCAGGAAGATATCCTCGATGGCGTCAATGATAAAAATGAGAAGGAAGAAGTGATAAAGAGAAAAATCCCTTATATTCTGAAAAGGCAGCTGTATGAAAATAAACCCAGAAGGCCCTACATCCTCAAAAGGGGATCCTATTACTACTGAAACATGTGATTCTGATCGAACACCTGCTATCTAGAAATATAATTATATGTGTGTATGAATGTGACAGAACTTGATCATTTCACCTTTTCCACAATTGTGCTCTATGGGATGTGATTTTTCTTGCATTCATGTCAATTGAATGAAATGTTTGCAAATAAATGTAGATCTTGAGCATGATGTGTTCTGTATAAATAATTGGAATAGATAATAATCTTATCATATGTAGAATGTTTGGTAACTTTGCAAGATATGCTATGGGTCATATGAACACTCATGGTATTTAGCATTTTGTCGAAAATTATAAGAGATTATAACAAAATTGAGCACACATCATTCACCAAAAGCAGAGCCATGGCACCATTTTGATTATTCAATTGTTTCATTATTAACTGAACAAAATATTCACTGCTTTTCATAAACTGCTAGTTCATCTCCCAGTGCAAGGGAAAGTTATTATCATCTAAGGACCCATCTGAAAGAATTGTTAATGACACATCATTGCTTATGGTTATTTCAGTGTCTCTTTACATGGATACTTTGCCTGTCAAATGAATTGATAGCTAATAAAAGTCAACAAGCTGCCAGAATCTAATGCTTTATTGCAGATTTACTTATTTTATTAGAATTCTTTTTAATTTCCCTCTTCTATTTTATGCTTTTAAGCTATAATATCATACATGCCTTTAATATCACTTAGGGATTTGTGATTAATATATTTTCTTATTGAGAAGGTATACTTTAGCTAAGTCTGTGCATCTGATAATTTTTCTTGACTTTCTTTTAAAATCATGGCTGATAAGACTTTGCCTCTTGCTGTTATCTGTGACTTTCTAAATTATTTCTCTTATTGAGTCCAGGAAGACGTTCTCTTATAGATCTGCAGTCGATTCCATTGTTATCCATGAAAGATGAATTCAGAGTCCATTTTAAAGTCATCCTTAGAATGCTATGTTTTTTTGATGAGGTTATCTTTCTCCAAGCTTAATAAAACTGAGAGAAAGGTTTGCAAGAAGATTACAATTTTACAATTGCAATTTGCAATAATCTTACATTTTGCAGAGTTTTCATCACCAAACTCTGATTTTTACTAGTACTTCTACTATTTTCCCATCCTTAGGGAGTCCATAAATCTATTTTTTTTTCAAAATATTTGTTTTGATTATTTGGGAATTTCACATAATGAACCTCCATTACAGTCATGTCCCAGCCCTCTCCATCCTCCCAGTCCTCTAGCCTACCCTTGTGACACCCCTTTCACCTTGTAGTAGGAATTACATATTCAATCTAGTATAAAAGACATACAATCCTGGTATTTGTTTCTAAGTTGTAAGCCTAAACTGGACAGGTTTTGAGCTATTCTAACTTACATCCAGTCATATGTCCCTTGTTATTTACTGTTTCTCCAGGCCATGTGTTTATGGTCCATCAACTCTCCTGGGGGCTCCCTCCTCCCTTCCCTCCTTTCTCTTAGTCTCTCCTGAGACTTCCTCACCCAATCCTCAAGTCATGCCTTTCTCCCCCTATTGTTCAGTAACAGGCTCTAAACTTTTATTAACTAACTATCTTTAAATTTTGGAGCACGGTTTACATAGTATCTTTAGGTGTATGTGAGAATCTCTTTGTCAGGGGCAACCAGATCTTAGGGGCCAGTATGTAGCATTTGAATACATAGCTGCAGCATGGGCCATACATACCATAAATCTTCATATTTAAAAATGACTATGGAACCAACCAAGAGAGCAAAGACTGCCATGAAGACTAAGAGTGTGTTCTCAAATTCAGAATGTCCAGATTTAATTCCGTTTGCTTAATAACAAACATGAGCAACCATGGGTCCCTTTTATTTCCTTAACTGTAAAAAGACATAAGAACACTGTTTGCAGAAAGGTAAAATGGTTTGATTACACTCATATTGTAACATATCGCATATCACATTGGAACATGGTGGAACACATTAAGAACGCCCTACACCTAACATTTCGTACTTGCAGTAGACCTAATTTTCCCATGATAAAACTTCTTGATGTATTATTATACTATGATTAGTGGAGATCTCAGTTTTCTCCTAGCATACTCTGTCATTTATTTCACTAGTCACCAAAAGTCATAAGTTCATCAGCAAGTTTATCCATAAAACCGGTATCATCTCCTGTTTACAACTATTACTTAGCTTTTCCTTGACACTCTGTAGCATAGAGTAAAAAGGGAGACTCATAGTCTAACCACTTCCATATAATTTTTCTGTTTATTTTTTTTAAACTACAGGTTATTTCAAATGTAAGATATATAGAAGAAAAGGTAAAAAAAACTCTGAAGAAAAATTATGAGATGTTAATAAATGAACAGTATCTATCATATTTAAGGAATTTAGGACTCATTACCAAGATGTCAGTCTTTCCAAACTTCAGTTACAAGTGCAATGCAATCTGCAAATCTCTCAGTGAGTTATTTAGTAGTTATTGACAAACTCAGTAGAGAATTTACATTTAAAGACAGAAGATTCAGACTAAGAGAAGGATACCAAACTAATTACCTTAGAGTTCTGGCAGTATCCTATTTCAAGGCTTACCTTAATGCTATGTTAACCAAGGAAGTGTAGTTTTGAAAAGAGTGTGGATGAATAAATTGATTAAACACTGTAGAGTGGAGAGATAGAGCCATATAAGAAGGATCATGTGATCTTAATGGAAAAGGTAACTCAGTGGAAAAATATCTTCTCACCAAATATGACCACAATAAAAAGTTAGACACATGCAATAAATTCTAAATAGACACCCTATACACTCAAAATACTGCAAGATGAATTATAGATCAAGATGTAAAACATAAAACTCTGACACTTGCATCATTGGAAAACCCTAAATATCTTTAGCTTGACAATAAATGTTTAGATACATTACGGAATGAAAATCCCAGTGGCCCTCCAGTGGCTATCCCCAGTTCCTTATCCCCCACTGCTACATATTTTTCCTGACCCTCTATACCTCTTTCCCATTTCCTCCAGCACCTGATACTGCCTCCTTATTTATCCCCCCCCCGTCTTCATTCTAGGTCTCCCTTACTCCAATTCCCTTGATCATCCTGTTCCCCCCTTGATTCAGGACTTAAGCACCCACACCTGGTCTTCCTTTCTCCTAAGTGCTATATATGGTCTGTTGGTTGTATCATGGGCATTGAGAGCTTTTCAGCTAATATCTACTTATCAGTGAGTACATACCATGTATGTTCTTTTGTGTCAGAAATGTTCCTGTCCAAAGAAAGAACAGGGACAAAAATAGAGCATCGACTGAAATAAGAGCTATCTGGGGACTGCCCAACCTGGGGATCCATCCTGTCTACAGACACCAAACCCAACACTGTTACTGTTGCCAAGAGGCACTTGCTGACAGGAACCTGGTGTGGCTATTCCCTGTGGAGTTCAGCCAGCAACTGACCAATGCAGAAGCCAACCATCAGACTGAGGTCAGAGACCCTAGTGGGGGAGCTGGTGGAAGGACTGGAGGAGCTGAGGGTATTTCAACTCCCTAGAAAGAAAAACTTCAGCTGGTTGGACCACCCAGTTCTCCCAGGGACTAGACCACCAACCAAGGAGGGTGCAGGGAGGGATCCATGGTTCCAATACATAGGTAGCAGAAGATGGCCTTGTCAGTGGGAAGGTAGGCCCTTAGTCTTGTGAAGGTTTGTTGCCCCAGCTTAGAGGGATGCTGGAGTGGTGGGGCAACAGAAAGCAGATGAGTGGGGGAGCAACCTCATAGAGGAAAAGGGGAGGGAGCACAGGAAGGTTGTGGGACAGGGGTCTTCTGGAGGAATAACTGGAAAGTGAGATATCATTTGAGATATAAATGAATGGAATGATTAATTAAAAAAGAAAAGATAGAAAAGAAAATCCCAATGTCATTCTTAACATAAACAGAATTTTTAAAGATCTTGAAATCCATATCGAAGCAGGGAAGTAATAGCTGGCCTATAAAAAAATCAGTTCAAAATGAATCAAGTCCCTGAGCATGTGTCCTGAAACATTGACATTGTTCGAGGAAAACACAGGGCAGCCATGTGATGATGTAGCCACGGGCAAAGACTCTCTGAATAGGGGAGGGCAGCAACAGCTTAGAAAGCAATAGTAAAAACTGTCACGTGAGACTGCATGAAATTAAAATTTCTCTTCAGCACAGCATTGTGTCACAGGCCTGAAATCCCAGCATTCAGGAACTGGAAACAAAGAAGTACTGAGTTTATAGTTATTCTAGATGGAGAAGACATTTAAAATTAGCTTGGGCTGAAGAAGTCTGGTCCTGTAGCAAAACAAAACAAACAAAAAACCCACAACAAAGGAAGCAGTTATCAGAGTGATGAAAAAAACCCTTCTCAAATAAAAAGAGAAAACTTTTCTACCCAAGTATTGATAAAAAATCAATACTTAGAATATATAATAGACAATAGAAAACAAAACCTTAAGTAGCAGAGAGAGAGAGAGAAAGAGAGAGAGAGAGAGAGAGAGAGAGAGAGAGAGAGAGAGAGAGAGAGAGA